CTTTATTAAAAAGAGGCTCGAAAGGGCGGCAGCTGATGGCATGCGGCCCTTCATCGCCCTGCTTCTGAAACCTGCGTGCTTTGGAGTCGACACTGCTGGCTGAGTGGCTTGGGTGATGAACGGAGACTGTGCACTCCTCGGGCCCCACACTTGTGACTTTGAGCCCCCGCATGTGCAGAGGAAGGAGATGGCCTGGGAAGGGAATGTGCTGGGGGTGGTGGGCTTTCTTCTTTCTTAACTTTTTACTCTGAAGAAATCCCTCAAGAGAACGCAGTGGAGTGTCTGTCTGTCTGTCTGTCTGTCAGTCAGTCTTTGGAGGAACAGCGGGATGTGGGAAGCATTGGGTCCCCGCCCAGCAGCAGGATACTGTGTGGTGAGTGGGGAAAGATCTCCACCTACAGAGGGATTCCGATCAAGTCCTACACTCATCCCAATCTTGACTGAACAGGTCAGTGACCCCTACCCTCCTTACAGTGAGACAGAGCTACTAATCCCCTAACAGCTACAATCTCCCAAGTATTCTTTTCATTCCTATCTTTTTTTTCATTTTTTTAAATTATGTATTTGTGTCTGTGTGGGTTGTACACACGACTGCAGATGCCCTCGGGGGCCAGAAGAGGGCGCCAGATTCCCCTGGTGGCTGGAGTTACAGATGGTTGTGAGCCTCCCATGTGGGTGCTGGGAGCTGAACTTGTGTCCTTCATAACAGCAATAACCTGTTTTGACCGTTCAGTCATCTCCCCAGACCCAGCTCCCACCCCTGTTTAAGACAGGAACTTTACCACAAAGCCAGGAATGACCTCGAACCCCGATCCTCCTCCATGCGATTTCACGTATACACTGTGTGGCAGGGTTTGTTTTTTTGCTTGTTTCTTTCTGAGACAGGAGCTGTCTATGTAACCCTTACTGGACTGGAACTCACAGAGATCCACCTGCCTCTGTGCCATGATTAAAGGTGTGTGCCACCACACCTGGCCTGCTATGCCAGTTTTGATGACTTTCCCTCAGTGTTTAGCACACATGGATCCTCCCCCTGGGGGTGTCGCTAGGGAGGTGGGCGCTCTAACAGATCAGCATACTAGCACAAGTCCACACATTCACAGACCCCAGGCTTTGGAGCCAACGAACAAAGTACAGGCTCCAACCTCTCTGGGGGTCGGACCCCTTCCTCCCCTGGATCTGGTGGGTGACTGTTAGTATTCTCACACCCCTTGGCTTGTTGCAGCACACCACCAGCCTCCTCCTCCTGCTTCACTCCGCTCCTGTGTTGTCTGTATTGGGACAATGTGTCAGTGTGTAGTCCAGGGGACCTGGAACTTGTGATCTTCCTGCCTTGGCTCCCTGCCACCAAGCTTGTCTCCTCTCCTCTTTATACAACTACGGCCGATAAGGTCTGACCTTATCCAGCACGAGCTCACCTCAATTCCATCTGCAAGGGCTTTACCTGCAAACAGAGTGTTGGGTAAAGATGCCAACCTGTGGCATTGCTGGGCCATTTCTCTTCCAGCTCTGCCCTGAGGTGAAAGCAGGCCATATTGTCGCACCCTGAGGGTCTTTGTCTTCCAGTCTGCCCTGCCTTGTGCTGTCCACGTGTCAAGCAAGGGGAAATGTCCGCATGTCTGCGTGTGGATCTTTGCATTTGTCTAACACAGCTTTTATCTGAGAACCGAGTCCATGTTCATTACTGTGGGTTGTCTTTGAAACTGGCTCTGTTCTTTTTGATAAACTTCTGGACTTAAAAAATAGACAACACAACAACAAAGCAGGCTTCCCAGCTCCTAGACCTCTGTCCCCACTGGTCCCTCAGCCTGGGGCACTATTCTTTACTGTTGGCATGATGACTCTTTTAGTTCTTGCCAGAGGACGTGTGGCCTCCTCGGGGGGCACTGTAATTGGACTTTTCATCTGGACTGCCAGCTCCCCAATAGAGACGTAGAGATTTATTATTAATTATGAAAGCTCGGCTGATATCTTAGGCTTGTTTCTAACTAGCCCTTTTAACTTAAATTAACCCATGTCTTTTAAACTACATTCATTTATTTTATTTTATTTATTTATTATGTATACAATATTCTGTCTGCGTGTATGCCTGCAGGCCAGAAGAGGGCACCAGACCTCGTTACAGATGGTTGTGAGCCACCATGTGGTTGCTAGGAATTGAACTCAGGACCTTTGGAAGAGCAGGCAATGCTCTTAACTGCTGAGCCATCTCTCCAGCCCCTAAACTACATTCTTTTACATGGCTCTGTTACCTTTACTCTGTATTGTCCATGCTGCTTGCTTTGCCTCTCCTGGTGTCTCTGCCTTTCCTCTTCCCATAGTCCTTTGTGCTTAGAAATCCCGCCTAGCTATTGGCCGTTCAGTTTATTAAACCAATCAGAGTGACACATCTTCACAGTGTGCAGAAAGATTATTCCACAACAGGGCATCCTGAGGAAGCCTTCTCTATTTCTTTGTTCCCCTCTCTCCTCTGACTCTCCTTTTCCTTCCTTCCTTCCTTCCTTCCTTCCTTCCTCCCTTCCTTCCTCCTTCTCTTCTTTCCTTCCTTCCTCTCTCCCTCCCTTCCTTCCCCCTTCCTGTTTCTGTGGTGTTGGGGATCAAACCCAGGGCCTCAAACATCCTAGGCAAGAACACTATCACCGTGTCTCATCCCAATCCCCCAGTTTCTTAACTGAACTGTTTGCTTTTGTTTTGGTGATCCAGTACAGGGAATTGCTGTGTCACTGGGGCTGACTGAAGATTGTCATTGGGGTATATGTGGATCCACATACAGTTGTAAGGAAATATCACAGGGGTACCTGAAAGGCTTCTCTCAGTTTCTCTTAATAGTCACATCTTGCTAAAATGATAGAATCACAGCCAGGGTATCGATGCAGATACAGTGCAGTGATCTTGCCCAGATGTGTCCAGCGTTTTTTACATACATGCACGTGTGTTTGAGAATGAGCATGAATTCGGATCTGTATAATGTCCCACAGCTGGACACACGTGTCAAAATAATGAACGACATGCTTCTCTTGGGTTACTATTTTATAGCTACATCCACTTCCTCCCATCCCCTCATCCACCACCCCGACATCTGCCAATCATGTCTAAGATGTTGTTCTCTGTGAGGTTGTGGAAATGGAGTCTGAGAGTGAGCCCTTTGGCGTTAGTTCACTTGTACTCCCTGGAGACCGCCTGAGCTCTGTGCGTGGGTACTCGGCTCCCTCAGGTAGCAGTGCTGTGTCCTTGGTTTGTGTGGACTGTCTGCTAAGGCCTCCCCGTCACCAAATGTCACATGCTTCCCTCCCTTCAACCACGTGAAGGGCTTCCAGGCACGCATCTGCTTGTCCATCAAGTCTGTGTCCAAGTCGGAGTCACGTGTTAAGATTGCTCCATAGGTGTGGTGGTTTGAATGTAATTGGCCCCCATCAGCTCATAGGGAGTGGCACTATCTGGAGGTGTGGCCTGGCTGAAGTAGGTGTGGCCTTGTTGGAGGAAGTGTGTTACTGAGGGGGTGGGTTCTGAGGTCTCCTATGCTCAAGCTATACCTAGTTCAGTTAGTGCTGCCTGAACAAGATGTAAAACTCCAGCACCACGTCTGCCTGCCTGCATAGCACCATGCCCCACCATGATGATAATGGACTGACCCTCTAAACTGTAAGCCACCCAACTAAATGCCTTTCTAAGAGTTTCTGTGGTCATGGTGTCTCTTCACAGCAACAGAAACCCTGGCTAAGGCGATAGGTGAGTGTTACCCTTGGTAATCTTTTAAAGCACCCTGGCATGGTTGGATATTGGGACTCAGAAAAGTCGCGGCCTAATCACTCTGCTTTGTGAAGTCTTCGGGGTGTGGGCTTCATAGCCACGAAGCAGTGGAAGGCAAGGCTGTTAACTAGGGAGAAAGCAAGAAGGCAAACAAGGATACTTTGATTATGTTTGTGAGGGCCAAGTGGTACAATTATGAATGTGCCTGCAATGCAGCATACGTGTGTACTAACATGCATGTGGTATGATGAGTACATGGTACTGTGATATGACATAGTGAATATGAGGTCCGTGTGCATACTCTGATGATGTGCACCTAATGGAACATTCCTATGCTATAATGTACTTATGGACCGTGTGTGTACGGGGTGAGGTGTACCTGATACGTTGCTTTAATGTGGTGTGTTCTGATGTGTATATGATGTGGTGTGTGGTGCAGCATGTCTACCATAGAACATGTATGTTGTGTGAGGTCCTTATGGTATGAGGTATGTATGATGCAGTATACATGGCATGAGGTGTGTGCATACAATGAGGTGTTTGCGATGCATTGCATACATAGCATGGAGTATGTATGAAAACACAGTATATATGAAAACACACCCAAGATGGTCAACATTGTAAGGTACATTGAGGTGATATATACATGGTATGAGGAATGCAGGAGGTGTGTGCACATAGCATGAGATGTGCGTGGCCTCGGGAACATGGAGGCAACATGTGTATCATTTGCTTAATGCGCAGGTGCCATAGCGTGCACATTGTGTAGGGTACATATGTTGGAAGGTGCATTTGATGCAACATGGCACACCACACCTATGAGGTGGTCTCATGTAACGTGACCTGTATACCACATAGGGTGCAGATGTCGGTGTGCTTCACACTGTATTGTGTGCACACGATGTAATCTGCATGTGTGGTCAGGTGTGTGTTGTGGCATGGCATATGAAGGGATGTGTAAGGTATATTGTGCTGAGTATAACCTGCTGTGATGTGCAGTGCCCATGGTGTGACGTATGGTAAGGTGAAGATGGCGGACCCCTGCCCATGCGAGCCCACCTTCTTTCTTCTGGCTTACCTGCCTTTCTCTGTGGGATGTAAGATCTCTGAGACATAAGGACTCGTCTGCTGTGACATAAGACATGCATGGAGTGACGCACGCGCGGTAAAGAGCTGGTGGCTCTGCCCACCGCAAGCCTACCCCTTCCCCTTCCTTACCCGCGTCTCTCTGTTCCTTTGCTCCTACTCAGGAGGGAATCTCTCCAAACAAGACTGGATCATCCAGTGGCCCACCACGGAGCCAGGGCAGGACAACAACCCTGTGTGCCCCCCGGAGCCCAGCTCGTGGATCCGCACCCCCCTTTCCCAGAGCCCCAGGGTCCAGTCCAAATGTGTCCAGCCCTTCTGTCACAGCAGCCCTACGCCTGGAGCCCCCGTGTACACCCACGTGGACAGACTCACTGTGGATGCCTACCAGAGCTTGTGCCCACCGCCACTTCTGGAATCAGGCCACCGCTCCTTGCCCCCGTCACCCCGGCAGCGGCACGCAGTTCGCACCCCACCTCGCACCCCCAATATCGTCACCACCGTGACCCCTCCTGGCACACCACCCATGAGGAGAAAAAACAAGCTGAAGCCTCCAGGGACGCCACCACCCTCCTCTCGGAAACTTATCCATCTGATCCCCGGCTTCACGGCGCTGCACAGGAGTAAATCCCATGAGTTCCAGCTCGGGAACCGTGTAGATGAGGCCAACACGCCCAAGTGAGTGGGGTCAGTGGGTGCTTGAGGGTGGCTGAACCCCAGGAACGGCTTCTCTGGGAAAGTCAGAAGCAAACAGTCTTGTGTCTGTTGGTCTGGTTGAGGGAAGGTGTCTTTGTGCTTTGTGTTCTGAGAAAGTAGGTTGGGTGGATTTTCTAGAGCTGGCAATTACTCTATCCATGATGGCCTTTAATATTTCTGAACGTTGGTAGGGCATATCATGACTTGGGGCTAAATTTAAGCTGTGGGCCGTTTTAGTAGATAAGACTCACTGGGACACAGCCGAACTACCCCTTTAGTGTTGTCTGCGAGTTCTTTTGGGGAACAGTGGCAGCACTGGGTATGGCCCACCGAATCAGAAATACTTATCTTCTGGATAGAGGCAGGAGAAGTTTGTGGTCCCCTGCAGGGTGACCCTCCTGCTGGCCCTAGAAAGAGGGGAAAGTTACATAGTGGCCTCGAAGTATCCAGTAGACATATTAAAATGAGTTTAAAAAAATAAGCTGTACAACTCAACCAAAATAATTATCATCCCAACACAGTATCAATGTAAAATGTGGTTATTCAGGAATTCTTTGTTCTTTATGAGGTCTTTGACATCCAGGCTCCTTTTGGGTGAGGGTGGGAGGGAGCCGGGGGGAGTGGGCAGAAGGCCTTGTGGATGTGGGGGCTGGGCACATGACATTAGGAAGGACAACATCACTCATGACAGAGAAGACCACTCAGTAGGTGTGTGAGCCTGTGAGGCGGGACCTCTCCATATGGGGAAATAGTCTCCAGCTGTCGGAGGGAGGCCATTCTGACGTCTGCTATGACATAACGGAGTTGAGTCTATAGACAGGAAGTAGAATTGGTAGACTGGAGTTAGAGAGAGAGAAACGGGGTGCTATTATTCAATGGGTACAAAATTTGGGATGAGGAAATTCTCTGGTGATGGTTGGTGGTGTCATTTATACAACCTGTGAAGCTATTTGATACCTTTGAGATGATGTTGAAAACTGCATCAGATAAGTAATTTTAATGTTAAGCTCATTTTGCCACAAACAAGAGAGTCCAGCTCCTGTTATCCAAACTGTGTAGGTCCAGACAGTCAATACAGTACTTTGGCTGTGCCAGGTGCATGGGTTTGTGTTGTCATTCCTCAGCAACCAAAAAAGCTCGTCCACAGCAGGTAAGCAAATGTTCATGGCCATGCTCCATTAAAACTTTATCTATAAAAACAGTTTCCAGCTGGCCTTGGATGTAGTCTGTCTTAAGCCCTGGTAGGAACGTCATCTCCCTTTGGAGAAGCTATGGAGGAGAGGGTACCATTGTAGGAAGACACTCCAGCAACTGGGAACCCTACCTTGAACACAAATCCCTTGATCGAAGTCAGATGTTGAAACAAATGAAAAAGGCTTTTCTCGTGAGAATTTGAGTTGATGCTCATGGTTTCCTGAGATTCACAGAAATCAGGGCCTGGAGACCCGAGGTGAGGAGGTAGAAGGAGTCCCGGGAAGGCTGGTGGAGAGATTGCTAGAAGGAATGTGGGGTGGGGGGGCTGGTCTGCCTCTCACCATCTCTGTGTGAACCTGGAAGTGACTTCACTCATCAGCCTGCAGAGTTTCTGGACCTATGACTTCTTTTGTTAAGAAGTATTTTTTAGTTTTTGAAATTAAAATATAAATCACAGCATTTTCTCCCAACCGTCCCGTGCACCCCTCCCCTTGCTCTAATCTAAGTTCATGGCATCTATTTCTTTAAAACATATATATATATATATATATATATATATATATACACACACACACATTCCTAAATACATAAATATAATCTGCAGATTCCATACAATGTTACCTGTATGCATAAGTCTTTAGAGCTGTGCATCTGGTATTGGATAACCAGTTGGCGTGCTCTTCCCCAGGGAAGGCTATTTCTTCTGCTCTCAGCATCCTCTGTTGTCTGTAGTTCTTTGTTGAGGGTTAGGGGCACCAGTAGACCTATGGCAAGTTTTGAAAAAAGATGTATTTGTTTATTTTATGTATATGAGTGCTTTTTCTGCATGTATACCTTTATGCCAGAAGAGGACATCAGATACCCTTATAGGTTTGAGTTGACATGTGGGTCCTGGGAATTGAATACAAGTCCTCTGAAAGAACAATCAGTGCTCTTAACCACTGAGCCATCTCTCTAGCCCTGACCTATGATTTTATCTACCTGCGAGAGGCTGTCTTTTTTGTGTTTTCAAGGTATCCTCTCTCCCTTCTTCCTCAAGGACCCAGTCAGCTTCAGTGGTACTGGGATTCCACCTCAGGACGTAGGGGGCTAAACTCTGCTTATGATGGTCTTCTGTCTGGGTCAGTGAGATCCTTAAGGAGACAGGTTCCTGGTCACCTCCAGGGACCCCAAGAGTCACTCCAAGGAAGCTGTGAAGGGAGGGATTGTGGTCACTGAGTTCTAACAATGAGACTCGGTGGGTAACATCAGCCCATACTTAGCGTGTCCTAAACTGATCCTGGCTTTTGCCAGGAAGTAACCTTGGGATCGTGGCTTTGACCCTGGGGAGGCTCTTCTCTCCTGTTGGTTGACCAAAAAGTGGGAATATGCTCATGCTTTTAAGTCTGAGGTTAGGAGCCATTAGTAGATGGTGTTATCAATTTAATGGGCTGTGACCAGCATCGGAAAGAATAAATTGATGGACTTAAAAGAGAATAGATTGAGAAAATGTGGTGTGGTGAAAGAATCAGGGTAGCTTTTGGAGGGCTCGTTCACACCTATGAATACACACACACACACACACACACACACACGTATACGCCTGCACACACACCCATATATACCCACATACACAAATGACCACACACACACATACACACAAGTGCCTATATATCAAGCTCTTTGAGAGCTCTTACTACTCAGGACGACTTTGATTCTAGATTGATCCCCACAGGAAGTAGGCGAGAGGGCAAACATCTTCCCTCTGTATCTGATTCTGCTTTTCATCCCTGCTGGGCATGGTCTCCATGGGAACTCGGCAGCCTTTTGCCCACCTTTATTTCTTTTTATGGTGGTGAGGTTGAGCAATGGAGGCCATAGGTCTTTCCGAAGAGAGGGGAGGCTTCCAAAACTGCCAACGTCTGTGACTTTATAAGTGCATTGTGCACCCTGGGAGGCTTTAAATTGTATCAAAACCAGCCTTGGCCCTTGGTGCTTGGGAAGTGGGTATCAGATTGTCTGGGTGGGTCCAAGTCCTGGCCCCTGGAAGCCTCTCTCCGGCGGCCTTTGCAGAATGATCCAAGTCAGAAAAGCAAGAAAGCAGGCTGGGGGTGTGACTCAGCTGGTTGAATCTTCCTAATGTGCAGGAAGCCCTGGCCCGACCCCAGCACTGCATAAACCAGGTGTCGTGACACACACCTTTTACCCTGTGACACATGCCTGTCACCCCAGCATCAGGAGGCAGAGGATCAAGTTCAATAAAAGCCATCCTTGGCTATATAGTGAGTTTGAGGCCAGCCTGGAGCACAGGAGGTCTTGTTAAAAAAAAAAAAAGTCAAAAACGAAACGGTAAACAAAAGGGGACCCTTTAGTGTGTTAGAGGCGTGCTGTGTGGTGGACTAAGGTTCCTCCGGGCTCTCAGCTGGTCTTCGTCACCCTTGTTTGTCTGAATTCTCAGGAGAACATCGCTGTCTTCATTGTTTTCTATTCCTTTTTTCTTGTTGTCATTACCAAAGACACATGCAGGTGATAAAAGAGGCTCCGTTCCCGGAGAAGAATGCTGGGTGCTGAGGAAGCTTTAAAAAGTCCAGAAAATGTTTAAAAGAGGACAGGGCCTGGAGGTCTGTCCTGCGGCCTTCCCTTTTCTTGAAAATTAATTAACTAATTAGTGTGTGCGTGTGCAGGTGCGTCACACACGCAGCGTGCATGTGGAGGTCAGGAGACAGCTTTCCTTCGGGAGTCGGCCTTTCCTTCCACCTCCTGCACCCTGGGGGTCAAACTCAGGGCGTCAGGCTTGGCAGCAAGAGGCCATTTTTGGGCCAAGCCGTTGCTTCTGCTCAACGAGACCTTGATTTTTGCCATTAAAACAACTAAGGTGTAGAGTGATGAAGAAAGAAACCCCACCTCTACCTCTGCCACATGTGTGTACAGACACACGGTCACGGACACACATGGACACTCACATGCACTCACACACACATACCTACACATACACACACACACATGAGCACTCATATAAACAAATGAACACACACACATATACAAAGGAATTTTATTATGACTTTTTGTTTCCAATTTTTTTTTTGTTTTTTTAAGTCAGAGTTTCTATGTAGCTTTAGACCCTGTCCTGAAACTAGCTCTTGTAGACCAGGCTGGCCTCGAACTCACAGAGATCCGCCTGCCTCTGCCTCCCGAGTGCTGGGATTAAAGGCGTGTGTCACCACCACTTGGTTCCAAATCCTTTTAAGAGATAATTTTCAACTCTAATTTTTGAGAGGTAATTCCCAGCTACACCCTTATGCGGAAGCTATTGTGTGTGAAACACGGCAGTGGCAGATGGCACTCCTACCCCTGGTCATAGGGAGTGAAGCTGCCCTCCCGCACACCAGTGTGGCCTGCTGTGTTTGTCACACATGAATATGAATAGCCCATTCATGATCCCCACGTTTACTCTCTTCTCTGTGTGTGTGTGGCATATGTGTGCTACACGTGTGTATTTGCGTGTGTGTGTGCATGCCCCCATTAGTGCACACAGAGGCCAGAAGAGGCAGCTGGATGGCCTGCTCTACCGCCCTTTGTCACATGCTCTGAGACAGGGTCTCTAGTTAAACCTGGAGCCAGGTTTCAGCAAGCAAGCCTTGGAGAGCTCCCTGACTCCACCCACCCTCCTAGTGGGGGGTGCAGTCACATGACCACTCCTGGGGACTCAGGTCTTCATGCTCGCTTAGCGGCCATCTTACCTACTGGATCATCTCCCCAGCCTAACTCCTCCTAGAAGGCCCCAGTTTCCCCAAATCCCATCTACAGTA